GTGCGGTCCGTGCTGGTTGTGTCCGGCGTTGCTCTCGTGACCGTGATGACTGGTGGGCGGACGGTGGTGGTGGATGGCGCTGTGCTGGAGCTTGTCGGTGGCGGTGTCGCGCTGGACGCGGCTGTGCTCGGTGGCGAATATGCGTTGTACGCGAGTGCGCGCGTGGTGGCATTGGAGGGCGCTGTGCTGCGCGTGTCGGGGAGCCAGGTGTACGCCGCGCATGGGTTGGTGTTTGACAGCGGGGTGATGGCCAACGCGTCCACCGTCGTGGTGAATGACAACGCCGGTGTGCTGACCGATGGCGCGCTGCTGGAGCTGCGGGGGTCGGCGTCGTTTGTGTCCGGGTCGTGGCTATCGGTGCGCGGCAACAGCATCAGCGGCAGGCTCCTGTCGGTGCCGTCGTACCCGCGCAGTGCGGACCTTGTGCAGAGCACGCTGACGTTCCACGGGAACGCCGGCAGCGGGACTGTCGTGATGGACGGCACCGTTGCGCTCGGAGGCGCCGGCCGAAGATTCGTTGTGGGGTGCCTGACGCTGAACGGGCAGGCGCTGCGGCCTATTGACTACAGATCCGCCGGCATCATCGGGGAATTCCGCCCCGTGGCGTGTGGCGTGTGCGATGCCGAAGTGCGCTGCTTTGCTGCCGCGACGAGGGCGATGACGGTGTCGTGCCGCTGCCGCTGTGCTGAGGGCGGGTACGGGCGCGATTGCCTGCCGGTGTACCTGCCGCACGTGGACGGGTGCAACTGCACGCCTGGCATGCCGCTGTTGAGCCACACGGCGACGCTGACGGAGACGCGCAGCCCGACGCCGACGTGGACGCCAAATCCGACGCCGAGCATGAGCGCGACGCACTACAGTCCGACGCAGTACGGGCCGACGAAGACGCTGCAAATGACGGAGACGGTGGCGCTGTCGCCCACGCGGACCCCGACGGCGTCGGTGAGCAGCACGCTGTGGTGGAGCGACGTGGCGTGCCCGACGCTCACCGTGACGACGACGGCGGCTGGTGGCAGCCTGACGCAGAACGACATCCGCGGCGGTGGGAGCGCCGTCCCGACACGGCTGATGGTGGCGCTGCCGCCGCCGTTTCGGTGGGCAAGCGACCCGCAGCTCGGCACGCATCTGAGCTTCGTGCCGGTGTCGACGGCGCAGCCGAGTGGGTTTGGCGGTCCGTGGGGAGCGATGCTGCGCAACGCGACGTGGGTGCGCAACGCGACGAATCCGTTCACTGTCGTGGAGCTGGCTGTGCCCGTGCATCGCGGTTACTTCATTGTTGCCGACGAGACGATAGTCATTCGCTGCGGCGCTGCGGCTGTGTCTGGCGGCTGCAAGGGTGCGCTGCTTGGTTCCTTCACGATCAGGTCGAACACGCCGCCTGCTGTTGCCAGCGCTCTCTCGGCGATCACCGGCGTTGTTGCGGGTGCGGCGGCTGTTGCCGTGGTGGTGACCGGCGGGCTGGGCTCCATCCTGGAGATGCAGGCACTCGGCGTGTTTGCGAGGATGTCGTGTGCCTCGGCGCAGGAGCGTGCGAGCACCGCTGCGCTGCCGTACTTCCTGTCGGTGTTCGCTGCCCTTGATCCGCTGTGGATGGTGGTGGGCAACGCACTGCTTGCCGCTGTGTTTGGGTGCGTGCACTGCGGTGTGACGGCGGCCTTCCAGCGGTGGCGCGGTGTGGACGCGGCGAGTGCGTGGGCTGCGATGCGCTTCCCGAGCCTGACGTACGTTGTGGCGCACGCGATGCACCTCGGCGTCTTCTTCGGCTCCGTGCTTGCACTGGCGGTGCCCGGCGCCCGCGTGCAGCACCGCGTGATTGGAGTTGTTGGTGTGCTGTACGGTGTGGCGTTCCCTGCTGGTGTGTGCTACTTGATTGCCCGCCACATGGGCGCGAGCTTCGAGAGGTACTGGCAGTTTTCGAGGAAGCCGCTGCACGAGCGCCTGCTGTACCCCGTCGGGTGTTGGCACCCCGCGGCGCAGCAGCGGATGTACGGCGGCATGCTGACGACCATGAGGGGCAGCCGCGTGTACTGGTGCGTGTTCCAGCTGTCGGTGCTGTGTGTGGTGGGCCTGATTGCGGCTGTGCACCCGCCCGTGGGAGGCTGCCACGTCCAGTACTTCTGCATGGCGACTTTGCTGCTTGCGGGTGCGGGCGTGGTTGCCTTCACGAACATGATGCGCTCGGCTTTCCTGACGGTGATGCACGCGGCGGGCTTTGTGCTCCTTGCGGCGCTGTGCCTGGTGAGTGCGGCCAACCACCTCGCGCCGAGCGACGGCGTTGCGAGGGCGTACGCGGCTATCGTGCTGCTGCTGACGACTGTGCTGCTTGCGATCACCGTGTACAGCGTCGTTGTGTGGTACGCGGAGGACCGCCACTGGCAGGAGCTGCGCGAGCCGCGGCGTGGTGGGCTGGAGGCGCTGCTGCGCGATGACGAGGACAGCGACGAAGAGACGCAGAAGCTCCACGATATGACGTCGTTGTCGTACGCCTCAGAAACCACCGGCGCGTCGTCGTACCGACCACCCGCACCGCCGTAGCAGTCTGTGACCGGTGACACCCGCTCAGACGTCCTGAGCCCACTGGACCGTGCATCCAGTGCGAGAGGCAAAATTGATCACGCTCTTCTGTGAGGTGCACCACGTGGAACTGACCGGTGCACGATGCTGGTTGATGAGGAGAGCACGGCGCCCCGCTGCTGTACAGCACAGTTTTTGTTACCCTCCGCCCTGGCAGCGTCGTTGATTTTTTTGTATTTTGAACGGGCGTTCGCGTCTTTTTCCTGTTCCACGATGAATATGTGGGAGAGCGCGCTTGTCGCTCTTGTTACTGCTGATGTTGTGTTGTGTCGTACTTTAATTTCATGGAGTTTTGTGCGAGGAGTGTAATGCCCATTCCATGCAATGGAAGAAGGATCCAACGAAACGCCTAGAGGAAGTAATGAATTGCAGCTTTGCCTTACCGTGGGTTTACATGTAGGAGACATTACAGTTCTTAGAAGC